CTTAGACCGAGACATCTAGGCTGGGAAATTTCTCCAGGTCAGATGGGTCAGCAGATACAAAAACTCCCAAGGTGGGCAGTGAGCCTGCCATGTCTAGGAAGTGAGAGAAGGCTCAAGGCTACAGCAAAGAAAGCACATGGAAATTAGACAGAGAGAGAAACCATGACTTGAATCCTGAGGCCACAGTGATGGGCTTGGACCTTTACTATAACTAAAGCAGGAAGTAATTGGGGGAATTTTAGGCAGAAGAATGGCACTGTTGAATTTACATGCTTAAAACATCACTCTGAGCCAGGTCTGAGGGTTCATACCTAAGGTCCTATTCTCGGGAGATAGGGGTATTGAGAGTGAAGAAACAGCTTCAGCTAGCTAGTGAGTTCAAGGCCAGTTTGGGCTACAAGATGCCTTGTCTCAAAATACAAACAAACAAACCAAGAAATTATCCTTACACACTTACTGAGAGGGAAATATAACTGTGAAAAGCAGAGGCAGGCTGGCTGTGATAGAGTAGGCATGTCCTTCCAACTTTTAGAAGGCCCAGGCTAGAGAACATTGGGTTTGGGGCCAGCCTGAGCAGTACAGTGAGATCCTGTCTCAAAACCAAACCAAACAAAGCAGGAATCCCACTTTGGCAAAGTTAAGCTTGATATACAATTTAGCCACCCACATAGGGGTGTAGAACACTGAATTTGAGAATTAGTTCTAGCAACTCTTCCAGGTTAACTATCTGTGATCTCTGAAACTGGATACCAGAGAGCAGGGAGGGCGCCCTGAGCCCTTCCTAATGCGTTGAGTTAAGCTCTTTGCACGCTGTTGTCTTACTGAAGGTTCGGAACAACCCTAAGGAGGAAGGGCTTTTAAACCTCCTTCCAAACTCTCAGAAGCTCACTAGCTTTCCCTAAGGTCAACAGCAGCAAGCAAAAATCTCGGACTTGACTCTCCGAGGCCCTCAGGCTATTACTATCAGTAAACTAGCGAATCCGATGTCTGTGTCCTCCACATAGAACAGGGAAGGAAGGCCACTTGAATAGGGGCAGCAAGGGGACACGTATGCCAGACACCAACCCCTCTGAGACTTAGAAAACAGTCTCAGTGCAGAGGTAGGCGAAGACAGGGAGGTAAGCATTTAGTATTAAAATATCAGCACATCAGCTTGGAATCCAGAATCAGACTATTTCAACCTCTAGTGGTTTATAATACATAATAAATCAGCCTCACCATGTTTTCATCCCTGTTCCCTCAGGAGAAATGAATTGCATACTGTCCAGCCAGTATCCAAGAGGAGGTGGGGCCTCCAGCCATTTTCTTGATCCCTATCCACCTAAGCGCTGCTGACCTTCTCTCCTTGAAAACATAATATCATTGTCACAATTGTGCCCAAATCAAGGCATTCCCACCTTAGCTCTTCCTCATACCTGGCAGCAGGCAGCCAGCATTCTCAGCTGAACGGATCAAGCGGATGTCTGCTTGTGAGCAGTGTGAGGGATAGACTGTCATCCTCAGCTTTGTAGAAAAGAACCCGCAAGTGAACATGAGAGAGATCCCTCTACAACCAACTCCAAGAGATTAAATAGAGTCTTTTGACTTGCTGGACTCTTACATTATATATTCTTGGAAATAAGTAGGCCATAGGCTAATGCTATGAAATCTTTCACAATAAAGATATTCAGTTAGTAATGCAACTGTTGGTACAGGATCTGACCTGAATAGGGAAAGAAACTAAACAGCTTTCTCAACCGAAATCTTTGAGGCTGGATGGTGCTAAATCTCCAGGGAGAAAATGCAGCTTTCTAATAAAACTTTAAAGATCCCACATCCCTCCTATAAGAAACACTTGCGGGGAGAACCAGAGAGAAGAAATACTCCAGGGATGGAAGAAAATACACAGACTTCAGAGTCGGAGGGATTGGAGCCCTCAGCCTGACTACTTCACTAGCGTACAGTCTGACCTTAGAAGAAATCTACCGCAGCTTGTAGACCTCAGTGTGCTCATCTACAGAATGGGAACAAAGGAGCTATTACATAGAGATGATTCAAAGTGAAGTGAGCCCATATTTGCAAAAGCACTAGGTCCATTCCTTGGCTCACAGTAAATTCTTAATGAGTATTAGTGTGTATGTCTGTGTGTGTAAGAGAGACAGAAAGATAAGTGTGCTTATGTGTGTGTGGTTTATATATGCAGGTGTTCACACATATGTGAATGTGAAGGCCAGAAGCCAACTCCAGATGTCATTCCTCAGAAACTGTTTCTGTTGTTTTCCTAAGATGGGTTCTTTCACTGGCCTGGGGCGGCTGATCCAGCTGGACTGGCTGGTCAAGGAGCACAATGGATCCTGCCTGTCTAGTGGCAGGATGACAAAACCACGTTTGGCTTTTTTACATGGGTTCTGGAGAAGCAGACAGTAGGTGTATTATAGGCATGGTTGAGATGGAATGTGTTTGTGGAACAGAAATCCAGCTGTTCCAGGATAAAGAGAGGTGAGGGAAGCCACTGGGTCATGTTTTCTCTACCCTTGGGCTCTGTCACCAGCAGCAACAACAACAGCAACAGATCACGTCACATCAGGAAACATCATTTCTGAACTCCACTTTCTGGGCTAAGAGCCATACAGGGCATTGGTCATGTAGCCTTTGCCTAGAACAGACATTGCCTTTATGCCCACTTAATAGTTTAGCATGCAGATATTCTTATTATTGGGTTGAAAAGTCCTTTTTCTTGGAGATCCTCGATCTAAACAAGAGGGTTTTAAAAACACCCAGTCTCTCAGAAAAGTCTTTCCTGGATGTGCATTCACCAATCTCTCATTTTCATTCTGCTTCCAGCAAAAGAGAGAAAACTGAAGCAGTCAATAGGAGATAGTCATTTACTCATAGATGATGAAGGAAACCCAGAGTTCTGATTTCTGGACATATTTGCTGCCAAAACTTGACCTTGACATCATGGGTTCATTTTCTGATGTATGGGAAGAATTACACTAGTGTCAGGGATGAGGGACAGTTGTCCCACTCAGATGATTGAGATTAACTTGAGCAAGAATACCATCCTTGCTTCTTATTCTGAACAGAGGGGGTCAGAAAAATGTTCTCAGCCATTTCCCTTTTAAAAAGAAAAAGAAGAAGAAAGAAATAGCCACCAAGCCAAGGCTTGGCAATTAGTGTTGGAGTAAGTGATCGCCTTGTGATTGCTCAGCTGGGGCCTGAAGACTTGTAAATGCATTTAGAAGACAGAAATAGAAGATGCTGCGAGAGAGCAGCAAAACCTGGAGAAAATGTCCCAAAGCTGCCGGGAAATTTACCCAGAAGGGATTTAGGGTGTGTCTTCATAAATGGACAGGGTTCGTTCATAAAGCCCAGGCATGAGCCAGACTGTGTGCCTTGCCCTCTGGTCTCTGCTATCTGTAACCTTCAGGACCCTCTGGAGCCCCCACTGTGTCTCACAGAGCCCTTTGAGCGGGTGCTGGTGCCCCACCTCATCTTGACAAGATCAAGTCTGGCAGTATTGGGCTGCACCTCACCTCACAGCAGTCAGCTGGGGCTGTCATGTGGCTCCCTGGCCCAACCCTCCCCACCTGATCTGCTACAGACATGTGGTTTCATGACCTCTGTATGTTGTGAAAGAGGAGACCTCTTGGATGTCAAAAGCACTCTCCCTTGGGAACTTTTACAATGAAACTCAAATCCCCAATAAAATAAACACCTGGAACATCTGGTCGAAGGCTCATCTCTAGTTGCAGCTATACCGGCTGTGAAGAACACACACATCAAGAGAATCATGCCATGGGGTTTAGAGCAGGGCAAGAGGGCAAGAGTGAATTAGTTAAAAGGGAGGTCTTGGTTCCCCACCACACACACCCCCAGTTGTTAGTATATTGGCCCCAAGCAATGGCCAGGGAGCTTGCTATTTCTAAAGGGAAAAAAGAAAGTTCAACACAAAACAGGTAGCTGAAAGAGATAAGTAGCTATTTCACCCTGTGCTTGGGAAAACACACAGACCTGAGAGTACAGTTTCTTTTCTGTGAAAAAAAAAAAAAAACCCACTCCCCAACCATAATTCTTCAGGATCTCTTGTGACCCCACATCCTCTGCTCTCTACTTTTTCACTGTATCTCTTAGAAGCTCTGCTTTTTAAATAAATTTCTAGCCAGCAAGCTCCCTTCTATTATCAAGTGCCAACTGACAGTGTCCAAAAGCAAGATTAGTCAACCTGCTGGTAGGTCCTCTGTTCCCTTCCCCATTTGTAGCAGATACTGTGCCATCCGGTTCATGAACAGACTCTGCTCTTTGGAGACACACCCCCTAAATGGCCACATGGCTATTCTTGAGAAAGAGCTGACCCAGACAACAGATATACCCCATGTGGAGGTGCCAGTCGACTTGTCCCTGATCACTTTCTGGGCTTTCTTTATATTCCCTTGCTTCAGAAGAAGTAACTTTCCTCCCTCCAAATCCCACAGACTGCCTACCAACACTAGACTTGAAGAAGAAACATCAGCATGGAATCATCCATGGATGATTCTACTCCTACAAGGTATAACCAGAGCCTCTGCCAGGAGAAGCCATTTCACTAGTCAGGCATGGCAAGGGGCGAGATACAGCGTGAAGAATGTCCAACTACACATATACCTGGGACCATGTCTCCTCTGTCTCATCCCAAATCAAGGCCTGTGATTTTAACCTACCATCCTACACACATACTCTTAGTAGAGTCACGTCCACATTAAGCTATGTCATTTACATTCCCATAAAATTCAAAATTTCATTATGAAAAAATGTACAAACTCGGGAGCTAGGAGACTCTCCCACTCAGCCCTGGCTTCCATCTACTGAAAACCTTTGAGATTACCAAATCCCAAATGCTTGTTATAAGGAAGTAAAACTGGAGGCCTAAGCAGGTTAAAGGCTTTGGCCAAGGACAGCAAATATCAAAGTCAGCTTCACTGTCCAGGATTTTCTCCCAGCAAGCACCCCCTCAGCCTCTCCCAAAGTCCAGTTCTACTCACATATAGCGCAAGTGGGGATTCTTGGCGAAGGCTCTGGGCTGAATGTTCCGGAGTCCAGAATTCTTGATGGTCCTAAGCAAAGAGGAAAAGACAGTTAGCAGAACTCCAGCAATTACAGCCAGAAGGAAGGCAAACTCTGTGAGTGGGGTGTAGCTCTCTTCGTCACTAGTCACCCTAAATGGCTAACTGTGGCCTCCATGATAGACATGAGCCCAATTCCTTTGGAGAACTAGGTTAAGAGTGGGATGAGTAGTCATTTCCCATTTGGACCAGCAATTGAGAGGCAGGGCTCCTGGTGCTCCAGAGACAAGGGAACTTCAATCTTATTGTGCTTTCTCTTCTGCCTCCTCCTTCTCCTCTTTTTCCTCCTCCTCCTCTTCCTCATCTTTCTCCTCCTCCTTCTTCTCTTGCTCCTCCTTCCCCTTACTCCTGGTCCCCCATGTTTAAAAAACTGAAGTCCACTGTAGTGGCGACTAAGAATGGGGTAAGCTATATAGGGTTGTGCCAAGCACAGGGTTGAAGAAAGAACACAATCCAAGATGACCTCTTCGGACCAAGGTGGCCCCCAACAACCCCTAAATGGGTGGTGCCAACCTTCCCCAAAGAGGATTCATGAGAAGAAACCCTGAGGCGGCCAACTTGCCATTGCTGCTACTTTGGCAAAAAAGATGACAGGCAGTATCCCAGCTGTTCCTTAACAAGCCACGCCGGTGTACTCACAGCTTCTGGAGTCCCGTGTACAGCTCCATGTCCACAGCGTTGAGTGTGTGCAGGCCTCGCCAATTCTCTATGTGTCTGCAGGAAGACAGGAAAGGTCAGGTCACTACAGGCAGGGGTGGAGTGCCAGCTTTACAGTCAGACACGAGCTTGAAGCCTGGAGCATGAGCCATGACTTCTGACAAATCACCAATTAACTCTGAGTTCACTTTCTCCCTCTGGATGGTGCGGTTTGTCACGTGACGGACCCATGACTTCTAAGTGTGGAGCCAGAGGATGGAGTGTTCAGCATCTCTCCCTAGCTCCAGAGCAGTTCAAACCCATTCCTCAAATTTCTCACTCAATTTACTTCCTTCTTGTTCCTATTCGGGATTCTTCTAACATCAGGCTCCTTTTAGACTTTTACTTTCTTAATGCCTGCACAGAAATAAAATATAAATGACTTGGTTTAGGAAGTGGGGTGTGGCTTGCCTGAAGGCATGACTTCTAGGCAACTGAGATAAGGAGAAATGTGATGGATGTACCCAGCAGGGCACAGACAAACACTCCATCTGCATGGCCACAGGGCATTCCATTTGGAGCTCAAGGAAACCAATGGATTAGGATGGACAAAAAAGTGACTTCAGAGAAGGGGCACTGTAGGACTCACGAACCACGGAGAGGTAAAACAGTGCGGCGATGTGAAAACTCTGGAAGCCAAGCTCAAGTCTGATCTCTGAGACTGGAGTGCAGATTAAGCAAGCACTTTAACCGATCTGAGTCCCTTGTCTCTTAGTGAAGGAGAGATACCCTACCACAGCAGTTCTTCCTCCTGCCATCACAAAGCTATCTTTCTAGAGCTTTCCCTCCAGAGACCTCCATTTTAAAGAGGGTTGTGTCTAGCAAGAAGACTACATTTATTAAGTAATAATTAATTCATATTCTCAGACTAATCAGAGACAAAAGGCACTGTTAATTGAAGCTCTTTATCAACAGACACAAACCAGTGTTAACTGGCCCAGTGCACAAACTCCAACTCAAAGCAAAGAAACTCAAGGCTGCTTTTATGATGAGAAGGTTTATCATGAGTATGTGTCTAATTTTTGTTAGTTCCTGGATACTGACCAGGGACATACATTCCTTCATTGTGGCTTTTGGAGTGTCCAGGTCAAAAAAACATTGCCTTACTGATTACCAAGACCTTTTCATGGTATGAAAGACAGCCTTCAACGGGGTACCAGAAGATTCGAAGAAATCCACCCCAGCCCTCTTGGAACCTGAATATCCAAGTATCCAGAGTACAATATGTAAAAGGTTCAGTACCATTTTAGTAAAGAGTACAGCTACTCGAGGCACACTCTGGTCAGAAAAGTGACCACCACTTTTCCCCAGACAGCTCCTCCCTTGCCCGACCACACCAATGGTTCTGCCATCTGCCACCCGGTCCAACTAGAGCCAAAAAGGCAGCATGGCTGTGGCTGCCAGAATGCCTGGCAGCATTTCAGAGCCACACAGTGACAAGGTATGCCAAGAGCCCATTTTGAAACACATTCTCCCAGAGCCCCTATGGAGAAGCCAGAAACACTAGCATTTGTTGGGGACATTGACCAGGTGGCCAGGTTGGCACTAGCCTCTAACTCTAATGCCTTCTCTCTAGAAGCCTCATGGTTTCAAGGCAGTTTTCATGCCCTGGTCTCACCGAGGTAGGAACACTGACAACATTTCAGGAGCAAAGGAAAGTCAAGAGAGCTAAGACCACCTGTGCCACTAAGCCCCTCTAGCGTATATCCCTGGGCCATGGGCCATGTCAAATACCAAGGAGATCACAGTGTTTATACAGCATGTTCTTCATTCACAGGAGCCCAGCTTTCTACATGGACCTGTTCCCAACAAGTAGCTATCAATCAAATTGCTCAAATAAATGAAATCACTTTTCTTAGCCCCTATTAGCATTCCACAAATGTGTCTTGATGATTGGAGAGATGCCAGTCATTGCATTCTGAAACTTTATTCACTTCAGCCTTTATGATCTGTGCTTACAAAATGGACCCTTTCTAGACTCCTACACACTCTAGGAAGTGGCGAGTGAAGGAAGCAGCAGGGTGGAGACCTCCAGTAAATTAGATGACAGCTCCGGCATCCTTGTTGCTCCTGAGCGCTCCTCAGTCAGGGAACAGCAGTGTTGCAGCCACATTGCTGAGTGGTTAGAGGTCAGGGCTCGGGAACAGTGGTTGGCAAACTACAGGTTGGGGCCAAATCCAGCCAACTGTTTGTATTTGTATAGCTTCAAAACTAAGATTCATTTTTATGTTTGTTTTGAAACATCAAAGTAAAAACATACTTTGTGACCTGTAAGAATTAGATATAATCTATACCGCTGTGTCATATCTGTTCACTGCCTCCTACAGCTACTTTCAAGTTATAAAGTTGAATCCTTGTTGCAGAGACCATATGGCCCACAGGGATTGGACTTACTCTCTTACAGGAAAAAGGTTGCCAACCCCTGCCTAGAGCAAGGCTGCCGAGAGAATACTAGTCCAGGAGCACTCCTCCAATAACAGTCTGCCCACGCCACTTCACCTGCTGGTGCCTCCCTTTTCTCAGCTGTAAAATGGGAATGATAAAATGCCCGCCTCATAACAACGACATGAAATTTGAAGGAGTGTGTTGAAGAGCTCTTGAGGGTCTGGGGGTATAGCTCCATTGCTCATCTAGCTTACCGAAGACTCTGACTTCAATCCTAGTATCACAAAATACTGCTAATAATAACAAGCAAGAGTCCTGGCAAGACTGAGTGCATAGTAGTCCTTGGAAGGCACTAACCATGGGACTGTATGAGAAGCCTTTCTGTGTTTTTTGAGGATAGATGGCACTGTACTTCTGTTAGAAGTTGTCATTTCTTGGCCATAGTTTTTTTTTTTTTTTTTTTTTTAAGAAATAGTAAAAGAGTAGGGTCATCATTGATTTTAATGAGCCGTCATGGCAGGCGGGTAGAAGGACAGGAAATCTGTCATTCATGACTTCCAGGAAAACGACTTCAAGAAAGCACTTCTGAATCACCAGGTAAAGGACATTTGCCATTGGTCTGTCAACCCGAATTTCATCTCTAGAAATACACGAGATGAAAAGTGGAAACTAACTCAGGTAGGTTATCTTTATAGGCACATGCATGCACACACACAAACACACACACTAACAAGATACAAGCAACAGCAGCAGCAGCAGCAAAAACAAATATATATTTAAATAAACTGATTTTTTTTTTAAAAGAAAGAGAATCCCCATAGTGGGTAAAAGCAGGGCAGAAGAGGAGCATGCCAGGAAAGGTGCAGCCTTGACATTTGCAAATGATGGTGGTTGGTGCTTGCCAACTCTTCCATGACTCACTGCTTGGTACCAAACAAGGGAGGTCACTTATGGTAACTCTCCTGGCTGCTATTAGAAGGCTACAAGTTTCAGTGGGAAAGGCTGGCTCTACAAAGCATAATAAATGAATAGGATGAGGTAAGAGAGTACAATTGGCATGGTTTTTGTTAATGCCAAATGGGGGAGGCAGAACCTAGTGCCAGTACATAGGGTTCTTCGTGTCCGGTGCTTTTTCTGGGTACTCCAGTTCAATAAGTACACATTTTTTTAAAGGAAGGCTGGGCCTTAAATGAACCCTTAGAGGATGAGTGACAGGAGCTAGGCTGGTTCTCCCTGCAGATGTCTCCCAAAGCCTGCTGTGGGGTTAGGAGGAAAGAGAGTTCAGAGCAGTGATGGGAAGATGATAAAATGCACAGCAATCTGGCTCATACAAACCCAGAGCCCTGCTTCCATCTTGGAGCCCTACTGCCAGCTTGCATCCCTTCTCCGGTCAGGGACAAGGGGGAGAGGGTAGAGAGATACCTAAGAGCTGTACCTGATTTCTCTCCCTTACCTTAAATCAATTGGCTCCACTTTAAAATGTTAACAGCAACATTCTCAAAAGGAGGCAATTTTGTCTCCCAGGGGACAGTCGGCCCTATCTGCAGACAGTTTTGATTGCCACAACTGGGGAAAAAAATAACACTAATGTCTGGCGGATAGGCGACAGAGACACACAGGAGAGACCTGCAGAGAAGTGTCTTTCCCAGAGGTCCCCGGCTCTGACATAGTGACCTTTGCCTTATCACATAAAGCACCTGCCGAAGTTGTCATTGAGGCTAGAGTTGCATGGCTTAAAAACATCACTTTTGAAAAATGACTGCTTTGCATCAAACACTGGGAGTTTATGGCCCAAAACAAAAAGCCTGCTCCTACGCCAGTAAGTCTAGGACAGAAATCAAAAGCCATGGCTCTCAGGACCCTCTCAAATCAAGGGTGTGAACAAGTTATAGGCGAGATCCGCCTGCCAAGAGCCTTTCCCCGTATTCGTCTCAACCTCCTGCCCCTAAGCTTTCACATTGCTTCTCCATAAAACTGCAAAACCACCACTCTGCCAGGACTTCATGCTCACCCCATCTGTGGCACAATGGGATGGCAAAGTTCTGGAGCCAGACCGGGCTTATTTGTGCAGTACAGAAATCCCACTGGAGTCAAGATGGATCTCACAGAACATGACTTGTGTGGGATCTACTTAAAGGGTCACTATGCTCCTCCTCCATGGAGGTAGAAAACCAGTCCCTTTCCACAATGCATAATAGCATCTCTGGATCCTAGACCCAGGAGCAAGGTTCCGGATTCGTACGCCACCCTGGAATAGGACAAAGCATAAACTAAGTATTAATTGAAGATACAAAGCACTTTTCTGCTGGAAAAAAATAGATGATACTTTGTCCCATAGCTTTCTCTTCCTCTTTCTGTTTCATTTGAGCCAATATGGAAATGACTTGGCAATCTCCAAGAATCTGAAAATCAGTTGGTACAAACTGTGTGGTCCATATTTTAATTAAAGACATGTCATGTCTCCTTTATAATCCCAATATTTAATGTCTGTGTTTCTCTATCCAAAAAAAAAAAAAAATACTAGAACATGGAGACATCCAATACCATATAACTAGAGAGAACTAATGTACAAGGAAGTCCACAAGAGGGTCAGGGTACCCTCCCCCAGCCAAAAGTTCCTGTAACTTGGGTAC